ACAGATCATTTAAATAATAGACAAGTAGGAGTAATCTACAAATTTAGTTATGACAAACAAAAGGATAGTCATTCATACATAGGTGAAACAGGCTGACAATTACAGTATAGAATAGAAAAACATTTAGCTATGGACAGATTGAAAAACAAAAAATGCCTATTTATTTGTGTACATTACACCACAATTGTAACATAGATGAAAAATTGCAAAAATTCTCTAAAAAGAAAAAAAATATTTATAGAAGAAAATTTTTAGAAAATATTTATATTAATAAAGCAGCTAAAAGAATAAACAAGCAAAGTATTTAAATTAATAATTGCTAATAATTGCTGGAAATTATTGCTAAAAATGTAAATCAAGGTAACCAATATGATTTTGTTATCTGTAGTACTGTACATCTAACTGTAGGATTATTAGCAGTGGATGAGTCCATTTTAGGATATGTAAAAACTAAACTTATTTTAGGTCATTCATATCATAATTAAATGGATTTTTAAACACCTTAAAGTGTAACTTTAAAATTTTTTTATGTCAATATACAGTTCTAGTGTTAATAATGTTCTTAAACAAATTTATTTTTTAGTTTTAAAAGATTTTATCTTATCTCTTGAGATTATTGTATTAATAAAATATGGAAAATATGATGTATACAATAATTGTATTATGAACATAGTCAAAAATGTACAAATATCTTTTAGAAAGTGTTCAATTGATATTAATGTATTGGTTAGCACATATTGAAATATGTGTTTATTTAATAGTGTAATGTGGGCAAATGCAAACATGTTATAACATTAAATAAAGAATTTTAATGGAGTTGTTGGTCATTTTGAAAATGATGAAATTATAGGAAACCAGTGACTGGACATTCTTTTTAAATTTGTTAATTAAAACAAAAATCTTTGAAGAGCCATGTCTTTAGTCACCTTTAACTTACAGAATAAACTGTATTGGTATTCTATTTATTCTGTAAGGTGTCTGTTCAATAAAATTTTTGTCCCATTAATATATAGATTTTTATTTTAAATTAATGACTTTTAAAAATTTATATTATAATTAATATAATTAACTTTTTCAATTAGAAGTTTGGTGTGAGATTTTTGGAAAGAGAAATTACAAATAACGATATTGTCTTGACAATATTGCAAAAACATTTTTAACTTATATTCTTATAGATTATTTTTTTTATTAATATTAGATATTTGTTTATAGATATTGCTGGGTTGTATCCAGCAAAATATTTGCTGTAAAAATTGTTGTTATCTAATTACTTCAAATGAAATTATATAGTGAAATTGATGCAATAGGGCTCACTATATTAAATAAGCTTCAAAATGATGTACTGTATAAAATGTAAATGTTAATTTATATGCAAGTAACTTAATGAATTGGAAATAGATTTTGGCTTAGTGCATTCTGTATTTATAGATACATAAAACATTATTTTATTATTTACAAAATTAAATAATTGATAAATTTAAATGTTTTGATAAAGCTAATTTAATTTATGAATAGGTAGTATTAGTTTTCTCCTCCTCCTTTTAATGCTGAAAAATTTCTATTTTTTTCCCTGAATCTAATTAAGCCTGAATTATCTGATTTCTTAACTAATTTCATTACTACTCATGGTTTGGATTAGAACACCTATAGATCACCTGTATTTAATATTTTTAAATGCAGGTGATCTTACAATTAAATACAGGTGATATTTTAATTTATATTTTATACTATTGTTAGTTAATGTGAGCTATTATTTAAGAATATAAATTATTTTATGTATTTATTATTTCAGATCATTTTATTTGATTTATGCTTCAGGTTGCCTGGGGACCTTTAGATTATTTAATAATAGATATGCCACCTGGAACTGGTGATACACAGCTTTCAATATCTCAGAATATTCCAATATCAGGTAAATTTAAAGTATTTTAGCTGTTAAACATTTTGAAATCATGCACAGTATATATTTAATAATAATTTTTATTAGTAAAATTTTTATCAGTTAAATCTTAATCCACCAAATATTTTATAAGAAACAAAGTTTGATTTCAGATTTTGTCCAAAAATAGTTTAATCTGTCTTCCAAAGTTTACTTAAAATAAAAAACTCATGAAAAGTGTGTTTCCAACACGTCAAAATAGCAATAAAAATTTATAAAAACAACTATAAACACAAACAAAGAACACAGCTGAAGTAATGTCTTAAATTAAAACATTAAAAGAAATCAGCATATTACAAAATGCAAGATAAATATATTACAGATACAATACATTAGTCATAACAAGAAGAAAATATCATTTATTATGTGAAGTTCTTATTAAATAATACAATATTAATTTTCTTTATAAACTAATAATTATTTCAAACGGATGAAAAAAAATAACATCAGCTCTTGGATTCATTTACTTCATTAACCAAAAATCTGTAATTCTCAAATTTTTTTGTGGTCTGATGTTAGTTCACAAGAATGTAGAGATCAAATGAAAGATTATCTTTTCACCTGATCTCTACATTCTTCTCTAAAATTTTTCAAACTGATATTACTGTTTAGTATTACCAACCTTTTTGCCAATAATTAATTTCTTTTATGCTCTTTTAATATTAAAAAAATATTTCTGATATACCATATTTACTTGAATATAAGATGATCTCGCATATGAGATGTGACTTTAAAGATCAAAATAAAGAAAATTAAATTGATTAATACAATTCTAATTTTGTTTCATTTAATAACAAATAAAATGTCCCTCAAAAATTACAGTCAACTCCCCTATAACACTGTTGATAATTCCGTTTTATATGAATTCCATGTTGTACAAGTCACTTAGATTTTACAAATACATGTACTTGGCTGTGAACGGCTCACGTAATTGTAAAATCTAAGTGATTCGTACAACATGGAATTCATATAAAACAGAATTATCAACAGTGTTATAGGGGTTGACTGTACTGGCATTTTAAACTTCAAAGAAAAAATCTTATAAAATCGACAACATAATTTGTTCATGTAAAGGTGGACAGTTGGGAACCTTTTTTGGCAATTCTTAACAGTCAAATTCACTCTTTGTCGATACACTTATGAGTTTCTCTGAATTCTGATTTTCAAATAATCATCTGTTTTCATGTGGGAATGAATTAAAACTTATGTTGGGCTCTGTGTAATTTTGGAATTCAATTCAAAAAATTTGCTTTTTCTATTGCTATTCATCTTTACTCCTGACAATATACAAGACCGATTCAAACAACCCAGATAAAATACTCATGTTTTTAAACACCAGAAGATAAAAAATGCGAATACACAGTTTACAAAAATTATACAAAAACAAAAAGAATTCTTCGCTGGCATGTATAGGATGACCTAGGTTTTTGAAGCAGCGAAAAACGGATAAAAACCTCATCTTATATGCGAGTAAATACGCTAACACCTTTTTTCTATTAAATGTTTTTATAGAACAGAAAGATTTAATTTTTTTTGGTAAGTTTATTCTCTTTCTCTCTGCCATGTTATTTCTGATGGATAATTGGAAGATTTTTTGTTATATTTAAATATTGTTTTTCTAATTTTCCAAAAAATTTTAGGAATTTGATTTTTTAGTTTATTTTTAATAAAATTCATGTTTGAAAATATCTGTTTGCAAAAATACACATTTGGACTTCTGTCAATTTTTGGATTGACATCAGTTTTTAATTATCAGGCAAGTGTATAAGTATCAGGCAAACTGTTCCAAATATCAAAAACAACTTGATCTTGCTTTTTAAGATTTTCTATCTCAGACCACTTATGTTGTGCATCAAAAGTAGATTTTTGTGTGTCTAAATTTTCTAATTCATTTTTAAGATTTATAAATTTTGAACTCCACATTTCTTTAATACAGTTGATCCCCCCTATAACGCAGTAGATACGTTCCACTTTATAAGAATTTCGCATTGTAGGAATCCTTAAATACATGAGCCAATCACAGCCCGGCACGTGTGCAGTTTATGGACTACGGCTGTTTGAAAGGTTTCTTCCATAAAATTAATCAATTCTAGACTAATTTGACTCAACATTTCCAAAACACGTATAATTTTTTGGGAATAATCCGTATAAACTATGCTATAAACAAAAAAATTGTAGGATTACTTATCGAGTGTGCACTGTTCGACAACGCCATTGCTTAAGCTTGTTTTTGTCGCGGAGCAGTGCACCAAACGGCATGCGCGTTTTCTGATAAGTTATTTTTCTGCAAAAAATTTGTTAAACTTTGGAGACATCATTAATAGAAATAATTTTTATGGCTGTTGAATAAGAAATGTTTTTTCACAAGAAATGTATAAAATTACAGTACTGTATTAGATTTACAGTACCTAATTTATATACAGTACAGATGATAGTAAACTCAACTTACCCGCCTAAACTCTCCGTAGTGTGTAAGTAGTTCGGCTGCTCGTCCACTATTGATCCAGATTCAACCAATCCTGTCACAATACGAGTCGGCGATGACATTTTACCGCATTTTACGAGTCTCTTTTAGCGTCTTTATATGAATATGGTCACAATTTTTTCGCTGCAATATATGAATCTGCATTATATGAACTTATGTTATAGGGGGGTCTACTGTACAGTGGAACCCTGGTTAACAAACGTAATCCGTTCCATGAGTCTGTTTGTTAACTGAAGCAATTTTTCCCATAGAAATTAATGCAAATACAATTAATCCATTCTAGCTGTCAGTATTTTTGTAATTTTATTTGTAAAATGAGTTTTCTTTGATTCTTTTCAAAAAACTGGGATGAACTTTTGCATCAACTCAATATAATTTAATATCCACATGTTAAAAGCAAAAACGCTATTAAGTCGAACCAAAGTTCAGGGAGAAGTAAGGAAAAAAACTGTACTTTAGTTGTCAAAACAAACACATCATGAAAACGAATGATGTAACGGATCAGGTGGGTCAGGTGGAGTGTCTGTGGGGAAGATGAAACTCTGACAGAAGCGTCATAAACAGTCGATCTAGGTTAAGTTTTTGGAAAAGGGGAATGATTTGATGGGTATAAAAACATCATGTATGATCGTTAAAGTTCTAAAATGACAGATAGCAGAAACAATAGGCTAAATTATGAGCGAAAGGCTTATAGGTTTATCAACAATCTCCGATCAGAGTCGACAAACAGGTGTCAAATAAACACCTCGGAACAAACCTTTCTCGTGACCTGATCTGGTTTCGGTTTACACCTGGAGACAAAGAAGAAAACAATCGGGAAGCGAGGTATGGGATGCAGGACTAATCGTAAGTAAGATTCAAGGAAGAAATACTATGAAAACCCTGAATCTCAAGGTCAAAATGCAGTTTTCCTAAAAATTCTATGGTGATTAATCTGTGTCGTCTTCATCTGGATTAAGCCTGAAGTCGTGCTCACTAAAATTTGTGTTGTGTCTCATGGACCGCTCCAGTCGTTGCAGCTCTGTCACCTACCATCGCTTCTGTGACCAAGCAAATCCATCTCGTTCACTCTGGGGTTAAGACTGATCAGCTTGCACTATCGTAGGACCAGTGATACGTCACTCCTCATTGCTGAGAGAAAATACTGTAGATAAGCCATTTCCAACCACCTCAAATATGTAAGCATCTTTCCGTTCTAATAAAGGATTTTCACTGTAAAATACTTGTCATCTTTGTCTCTTCCGCCACCACCAACGTATGAATGGACCCTAGACCATCACTGACACACGATTAACTGATTCTCCGTAAAAGTCGGCAAGCTTACAAATTTGACACAAAAAGCCGTTAAGTTCGTTATCCGAAACAAAATTTTTGCAAAATAAAAGTTTATTAACTGATTTGGTTGTTAACCAGGATGTTTGTTAACTGAGGTTCCACTGCATTTAAATCTGCTAGTTCTAGTTGAAAAACTGCTTGATCAATATCACTGAAAGATGAAATATTCAAATCAGTAGAATTGATTTTGAGTGGTCTCAATAAAAACAATAAGGTTGCCTTTTCCTTTCTAAACTCTTTAAATCTTTCACCAAATTCCAATTTTTATATTTACTATATTTGCATGAAATATGATAAATTTATTAAAATATGATCCTGTTGATATTCCTTCAACATAGAGAAAGGCATTTTCCTAAGTCTGCAGTAAACAAACATAATTTTTGTTCAAAAGCAAATACTTCTTTTAAAAGCAAAATAGCTGTATTTCTGTTTCCTTGCAGTTTCTTGTTTAGTGTGTTTAAATGAGAGGTCATGTTATTCATAAAGTAAACCTTTTGTAACCAATCATGATTATTGAGCTCAACGTATTCAAAATTATTTTTAAACCAAAAATATCTTATTTCTTCAATACAAGCAGCAAATTGCATTAATGCTGTTTCTCTGGAAAGTTATATTATTTTATTGTATAAAAGAAGATCAGAATATTGGCTTTTGACTTCGTTAAGAAGTTTACAAAATTGCTGATGATATAGTGGTCTTGCCATTATTTTGTTCACAATTTATACAACCAGGTCCATAACTAATGTTATTTCCTTTGGAAAGGTTTGTGAACAAAGTGCCTCTCAATGAAGATTATGCAGTGAAAAGAAAAGAAATGTTATGCAAAATTTGATTTTTTAAACATGAAAAGAAAGGTTTTGTTTCTATGTTTTACACTTGGTGCAATTGATACTATTTTATTAATATCAATATTTTTACTTTTCAAACAATTGGTAGCAAACTATATCCTCACCTCGCGTTTGTCCTGTAAGTGGCAGTGTACTAAGTAACCTTTCCTGAGGTCTGTCAGAATTAACATATTGCACAGGTTGTATTTATTTGTAGATATCATACACATTGCAAGATTTATCAGAGGCAATTGAAAACCTTGTTGTTGAATTTAAATCCATAACCTGCTGACTAGTTAATCTTCTGTCATATGAACAGTTCTGTC